GCTGTTACTTACTTTCCATATTGCCCCTAATGGAAAATATTAAACGTTGAACCCGCATACACTATTTTCATACAATGTTTGCTTAAAAATGCGGCTCAACGTGGTTACATGCAGCACTTCTTATAGGAAAGGAAATCTATTTAAATCGAAAACTGACAAAAATATTTTCGTATGGTCTTCGAAAATTACGCCTAACAGGTATGAAAATTAAGCTTTTCGTTATTTTCTAGAGGAATGCGGCCGAAAGCAAAACAACAAAGTACCAATTTATTTCTTCTTTTATACTTACATCAACCATAGGTATGCACATTTTATGGCGTCATACAGCAAATTGATTACCCTTTACAAAGGTCTTAAAAAGAAAAACTTGCATCGATTTCCGGTTTAACCGGAACTGATACCAGAAATTTCAATCGATAGATCTGGATGTCGCATACAAAGATTATAGTTGACCATTAAATTGTTTACTCTCGCCAGATGAAAGAGATAATGAGTTGACCCGCATATTTCGAACACACCGTATATCCATCCGGAAATCCAAACATGTTTTCCATGTCTACAAATCACACTATTTTTCCTTAATTTTGGTAAACCGTTCCTTAGTTCAAACCTTTGATTATACAGGGTGGTGACTTGCGTAACGCATCATAGGAATTTCAATGTAAAATTTATAACAAGCGATTATTGGCTCCCCAAAGTATTTTAGCCAAATTGTATTAAGGTTTTTTGTAGAAAAAAATTTTTTTAATTGGAACAATAAAACCCCCATCTTTTTCAATAATCTGCGATGCCATGGAATTTTCTAAAACAAAAAGATATCCAGTTATCAATTAGCAGCAGTTCGAAATGGATTTTATGATCGACTTGGTTACTGTCTTTGCAGTTAATGGTGACATATTCGAACACTTATTGTAAATTGTTATATTAGGAAACCGTTTTTAGTAATTTGGTCTTTCTTTATATTGAATTCGCTGTTCTAAATATAATACTTTTTGATAGAATTTGATTTGTTTTATAGCAGACATTCCATGGCATGACGGATATTGGCGTTCTTTTTGTATTATAAAATTCTATGGCATCACAGATTATTGAAAAAGATATTTTCCTATTTTTCCAATTTTCCGTCTTTATTATGCAAAAAATTGAAAACTAATACGGTTGATTGACGTAAAAAAATTTTTTCTACAAAAAACCTTAATATATTTTTGCTCTAAAATAATTTGGGGAGCCAATAATCGCATGTTGTGAATTTTACATTGAAATCCCTATGATGCGTTACGCAAGTCACCACCCTGTATAGTCTATATTCAAAGGTTCAAACCCCCAGGTTGAACCATTGCTAATTTTAGAGAAGAATTTGAGACTACTTGAGAGAGGTTGAGGACGGCTTATAAATAAATTGGCAGAAATTGGAGAGAAACAAAAATGGAATTTGAGGAGAACTTGTGAAAGATTGAATAGAAGCTTAAAAATTTGAGGTAAACTTAATGGGAAACTGAACGATACATGAAGAGAGCACAAGCAAAAGGTGAAAATAATTCGATAGGTAGAACTGTGAGAGGAAATTGAGAGAATCTTGAGAGTTCAGAAACTGTTTAGAGAATCTAGAGACGAACTATTGTAAGACTTTACGATGACTTGAAAGGAAATTGGAAAGAAGGAGCTTCAGATGAAAGAAAAAATGAAAATGTGAACGCGAAAATAATTTGTGATTGGTGAGTGCCGACAGAAGTAACTACTTCTTCCTCTCCCGCAATTCTTCGCTCCTTCTTTTTGCCGCGCTGTATTTTAGAAAAAAAAGCGTGGGGTTGGGTTCGAACCTGCCTAATTGACAATCGTAAAAGTGTTGTAACAAATCTCATATTCGGATGCACCACTCTGAAATAGTTATTTACATAAAAGTCGGGAAAATATAGTTTGCCGGCGAGAGGCCCCTTTGGGGCCGAGTACTTTAATTTCCGAGGCAGGTAATGTCATTTTACTGACGAGTTTTGTATTAAATTTTACCCGAAAGCGTATTTTAATATAAAATGTCAATTTTCTGTAAATGATGACAGGAGTCATTATAGATATTTGGAAATGTCAAAAATGCAGCCGGGAAAGTGACAAGCGGCAGGAAACGTAGTCTGCTCTGCCTCTGTCATGGAAACTAAAATTTTCTGACAGAAAGTAAGCATGAAAATGAAGGTTTCAGGACGATTTTGGGTAAACAAATTGAATGAATTAAATTAAAATTCACCCACAACTTCTCAAGTAAAGATACAATTTGACGAGGTAAAATAATCACTTCATACAGTGTATCAAGCAAGTTATAGAGTGGACAATAATTTAAATAATTCATCCATCACAACGGCCCGTCGGTCACTAAACAAAAAGATGAATATAAATTAAATCATAGAAAAGATTTCGAGGCTTGAAGGCAAAGGAAGTCACTAAATAAAAATCTCCCCTTTTTCAATAATGCAAAAAAATTGTGCTCGGTTAAGTATAAAGGCTCTTCATAATATATTTAAGTTTTGACAAGGGACATATTAGTTTTCCACCTGATGGATTTAACATTAATATATATCTTGGTATCCCAAGCAACAGTTACCCTTCCAGATAGATTATGGTGGGGGTGGCTGAAGAGAGAGTCCGATTTTCACACACTGTGACCACGTGAAAGAGGCGTTATTGATCATCTTGCGAAAGTTGCGAGATTTTCGCGTGCTTGGTTCTTAGATATTCTGAATTTGCATTTGCCATACATATTGAGATTGATCTGACTCGCATGACCTCACGAACATAACCTTTGGGCTTTATCAATGCTACCAACCTAATATGGATTTTGCATTCAACTTAAAATTAGTTATAGATTTTTGTAAATCCATAAATATAGGTAATCCAAATTAATTATTTTTCTGTTGTTGGATGCGTTGGTGATGACAAACTATAGAAAAGACTTTTCTTTTATCCTTTACTCAAGCTATTTACACGGTACGGCGTAGCTATAATATTTCACCCGTTGACAGGATCAATGAAGGAATTCTTAAATTAAAGTTCGAAAATTATTAAATATATTGAATGATGTAGGTAATAAAATGTAATTTGGGTTCTACAAATTGGTAACGAAAAATTGACAAGCGCGTAATTTTATTGTCGTTAGCTCGTTACACCAGAAAACGGCAGATAGAACTCATTAAAACAAACCATTGTCATTTTTAATTCCAATTTTTGATTTGGTGCCCCAGTTAGAAGTTATTGGCGTTCTTTTGTTTTTTCGAACAATCGTGATCTCCCCTAGCTAATTTTTAGGACGATTGAAAAAAACAAGAATTTAGGCTTTCGCCTCTCTAAAACATTTGTATTTATAATTATTTACTATTTTTTCAAATAACAAAATAGTAGCCAACGCCTTTATTTTTTTCACTGATTAATAACAGGCTGAATCTTCGTGAGTATAGGTTGCGTGTCACGAGACGGCCAGCTTTTCCTCTGAAAATTCTCGATGGAGGTAGCTAATGGTCTGCGCAGGTGTTAAAAACTTTCACGCGCAGGACTGGGGATATATGAACATTTCACTGTACATTTACTAAGCTGCATACAAAAAATCAGCACGTTGGGTGGTCTGACCAGGAGCGTCCCCGACTCAGAATATCTGGAAAGGAGGGGAAGGTATCATTAATATCATGAACTTCCCAAAACAGAAGGTAAGAAACGTATATTCAGGGGAGAAAGGGAAGCCGGATTGGAAAGTTCGTACGAAACCGCTGGCGGCCGTGACGGTGGGGTTTCGCAAGGTTCGGTCTCGGGTCCCATATTCTGGAACTAGGGGCTAAGACAAAAAAAAGGAAATTTGGGGGTCGAAGTGATCGCGTTCGCTGACGACTTAAACCTAATCGTTTGGACGAGGAATCTCGGAGTGGCGGTTAGGTGCTTAATGGGGAGACCAGACAGACGCGGGCTGGGTGGGGAAGGGGGTATTACTACCTGGCTCTAATATTGAACAGGGGGCCATATTCATTATAGGTGAAGCTTTGAGTCTAGAGATTTCTGGAATGGGCACTTCGAGACTAGTTCATTCACATACTGATTCCCTGGGTAAGGAAATCACATGGGGAACCGGGTTATGTTCTCACACAGTATCTAACGGGATACGGGGAGTTATGGTGGTATGTAAAGAAAATTTAAAAAAAGGACACTGACACATGCGAGAACTGTGGGGAGGGATGCACTTCTTTTTCGAGTGCCGCAGATGGGGTCCAGAAAGCGACGAGTTAGCTGTTAGAGGCAGCACGGTCAAACCATCAACGGTCATCGAAGTTATGCCGTTTTGACTGAATAAAGTGATAAAGTGAATCATCAAGCCATCTTCGCGTTGTGGACGGAAATTTTCGCAGCATTTCCAAGAAAAAACGATGGCGTTGAACATTTTCCGCGAAGCCACGCCTGCTAGGATTCTGTGACCGATCCGTGCCGTTAGGCCTTATCGGCGTGCAGGAGGTTGAACCAATTTCATTCTACAGTGCACGAGCATTGAGAGTAATAATTACATAAGAAGAACCACCCCAATTTAATTGAGACGTATTAAGATTAACCAGAGGTGGGACGAATCAGAAGTAATTGTAACATCCAGTACAGTATGCTTAATTAAAAGTAAAAATAAATTAAATAAACAATAAACATTTACTGTTGGTTTTAAGTTATCTCAAACTTACCATTTTTTGTTGAGCTGGTATTTCATGCAACGGAAGTCCATTGCGTAATGTACAGTATCCTATATAACCCCCCGATGTGGGGGTTGCGTGTAATAAACTTCTACTAGGCGACGTTTCTATCGTAGAAACGTGTTGTCGTTTTCTCGCATAATCACTACCATCGTCGACATCTACAGGTTGTGGTATAATATCGGGATTCTTTTCATCACTGTCGCACTCCCCGCCGCTTGAGTCGTGTTTTGATATTGGACTTCCACCTATTAATGATGTGATTTATTAGTACCAATTAATTGTACAGTGCGTTTATCTTAGATTGGAACATACGATTTTGCATGCAATGTTATTTCCCTATGTTCCATTTTAAAAAAAACGCATCAACCTGAAGGATATGCGCGGTTCACAACTAAAACAAACGTATTAGAAATTTGCGAGTCACATTTGAACCAGCCTTTATTTTTAGGTTATGTACGTGTACGGTCGAAAGTCGAAGAAAAATTGTTTAATAATAAATAAAATGAATTTAATTATAAGTTATAACAAATGTTCAAAGTGCCCTCCTTCACATTCCAAGCAGTACCCTAACCGATTGCGAAATTCCTGAATACTATTTCGTAAAAACGTAGGATTCATTTGATCACATGCTGTTAGTATTCGGGTTTGTAACTCTTGCACATTCTGAATGGGAACATGATTATAAATTTTCGATTTTAGATATCCCCAAAGGAAAAAGTCATTTGGCGACAGATCGGGAGATCGTGCTGGCCAAGATATTGGACCAAATCTACCGATCCAACGGCCCGGGAATGTTTCATTGAGGAAACTTGTCACTGGTCTCGTAGAATGTGGTGGAGCCCCGTCCATTTGAAACCATGGGTTGTTTATATTCAACTCCTGTAACCGTGGAATAATGCGCGATCTAAGTAATTCGAGAAACTTTGTTGAATTTAGAGTTCCATCGATGAAGAACGGTCCGATTAGAATATTGTTTATTATCCCGGCCCAAACGTTAATTTTAATATTATATTGCGTATGCGTTATGTTGTGTACATGATTATTAGTTTGTGACCAATATCTAATGAAGAAAACGGTATCAGTAAGATTTAATATGGAGATAGGTACCTACCGATAGTTTTGAGAATTTACTGTACCGTTCAGAGACAAAGATGCTTCATCTGTAAACATTATTTTGTGCAATATTTCCTCATTATTGTTTAACAAATTAAATATTGTTTCGCAAAAGTCTGTGCGTTTTATTTTATCATCATCAAACAGTTGTTGGTGATTTTGAAATTTGTACGACTTGTATTTAAATTTCTTTAGCGTTTTAAACACGGAAGTTCTAGAAATTTCAAATTCCTTGGCCATTAAACTTAGTGATGCTGTTGGGTTTTCTTCAGCATAGCACAAAATTTCTAATTCCAATTCTTCATTAAGGACATGGTTAATTTTTGCCTTTTTTGTGTGAAGATTTGCAACACAGCCATCCCTATCAAATTTTGCTATAACTCTGTGGATCGTTGAAATGGATGGTATTTGTTCGTCAGGATACTGGACTGCAAGTAAATCGCGGACTTGTCTTGTACTGTTTAGGCCTTTGTATAAATTTATAATTGCAATTTTCATTTCTTTAGGCAGCATTTTTGAATTTATTGCAGGGCGGTAGATTTAAAGGTGACAGTAGTACATTGCGCCTACTACCCATTTGAACTACTCCTTCAGGTTGATGCGTTTTTTTTAAAATGGAACATAGGGAAATAGCATTGTATGCATAATCGTATGTTCCAGTCTAAGATAAACTCACTGTATGTACCTATATGCTGGAATAAGTGTTTGTTTAATCTCACTAAAAAAAATTGGCAAAGTTATGCAGATGTTTCATTTTTCCACAAATGGCGAAATATGGCCAAAAAATAATAAAATTCGAGAATGGCATTTTTTGGTTTTTGGGTCATATCCATACTTAGCTATATTTGTGGAGCTATACACGAAAATTTTCATGAGATAATTAATGAGCATCTGTATAACTTTGCCCATTATCTCTTACGGCTAATAAATGTATATGTCGTAGTCTTTTAGTGAAATCAGTCATTTCACGAAACGCCTAGTCCGAGGCCTAGTCATTTAGTGAAACGCTGAAAATTTGTACGTGTGGGGTATTTTCCCTTCCCCTTCTAGATCGATAAGGATACCATTTATCGATCTCTAATGGGAAGGGAAACCAATCGCTTGGTCTTGGAAAGTAAACTGTTCCACAGTTTCATATAAATGACTAGACTTTTCATGAAATGTCCAATTTCATTAAACGGCTGCGACATATACAAGATCTCCCTCTATTTTATGTTGACAATTTGCTTTAGCCGTTTTTGAATGAACATCCTGCGTTTACTAACAACACTTTGCTTAAATTGGATACAGACTACAGAAAATGTATTGGAAGTAAGAGTGATTTGTTGATCTAGATTAAGATTTCCAAGGGTGAGAAATGGACATTTGGTTTGTTAGGGCAACTGCGATTGTGTAAAACAAGTTAATAATATACCTACTATAATTGCAAATATTTCAAAAACGGTTAAAGCGACATATTATATATTTATGAAATTAGAAAGAACAAAATATTCAATTTTTGAAAAATATAGGTGCCTATTAACTTTGCGATATTCATCTGTTTTTTTAAGGTACATTTTCTAGCGATTAATGATAGGTAAACCCTCGGATAAACCTTACAACTCTTGTATTTAAAGTGTTTTTCTGTCTCTTAAAACCCACACTTTTACCAATGATCTGTGATGCCACGGAATTTCATAAAACAAAAAGTAAACCTTTGACACCAAATTTATTGTTTATGATAGTATAAATTGGTATGACAAATATGCGTATATTCATCATCCAAAAAGAAGTGGGATTGGTTTTACGCGGAAAATAGCACTCACTCGTCAAGTAAGCACTTTGTGTAAAAATCGATTCAGTTTTCATCGATCAAAAATTGCAACAATGCATCGTATACTATAATCATAATTTTTTTTAATGATTCAATATTCTAGGTGGCCAACCGAGATGATTTGTAATTGTAAATTATGCCAAAAATGTCTGAGTAATGGCGAAACGCCACGAATTTGCAATTAAAATGTCTGGGTGGCGAATCGAGAGGTAAAGCGAAAACGTAATGAATTTTTCTAATGACATATTGCTCTATACAGGGTGACAATTTGAAAATTTACCACCCCCCATGTCTTAGTAAATAAACGAGATATTTTAAAAAATCAAAATCCGTAATGCGGAGCGGGAATCACAATGACATAGTTGGCGACGCACTCCCTCCAAACCCCTGCACCCGAGCCACCCCAACTATTAAATCTTAAATAGTGACCCCCCCTCCCCCATGTGTGATACGTCGTTGGAAAGCTCTGAAAAATGCTTTCCAACCATACCAAATAGCATTACATTTAGGTTAGTAATTATAAGTATTTGGCGGGTTCGATTTTGGATGAGGGCCGTGGAAGGGTAAGGCGGATGCGAGAAGAACAAAAACTTCCTACATATGGTGCAGATGAGATGAGGTGCAAAATCGTATGCTATCATATTCGCCAATGTGCTAGAGCCTTTTGCACTTCCATACTTCGAGTCATGTTCCAACAAGATCAATTGGGCGCTCTCATACGGCAAGAGCTATATACAACACGGTTTTTTGCAAGAAGCTAACATTGACATTCGTCCATGGCCTACTCGGTCGCCAGATTTGTCAGGTATTTGGGCATCTATTAGGTAAGCGGGTCACTAGTTTCCCACACTTATCAAACAATTTGCGTCACTATCTTCGGCTGCGAATTCACATGAAGCTTGCGGTATGATACCTATACACTATACAGGCTGAAACCCATTAATAATTGTTTTTGTTCTATTGTTTTTAAATTTAATTATTTATTTATGACATAATACCTATAGGTATATTCGTTACTGAAAATTTCAATAACATGCTTCTACTATTTTTAGGTGGTTTTTTAAAGGAAGTTATAGTATAATATGTTATAAAACTCATAATTTGTATTTAATATACTTAAATTCCAAAATTTTCTTTATAAACTCGTCCAAGTTGCGTTATAGGTATTGCATTAACAATGACGGGCAGACAGAAAGTACGATTTTCAACTTCGTTTTGTATAGGTATTTTCTTCCGCCCGCATTCGCAATTATCTAGAAATGTAGAGGATGGAATCTGGTTCGTTTCAACAAGTTTGTGACTTTTGTAGCGTTGTCTTGAAGTACGTAGGCACAATATAATGTGCGTGGTAAACTTAATAAAAAAGTGAAAAAAGAAAAACATATATCTACCTACACATATTAGGTATAGCTATATACACTTCTAAATGTTTGCTTGTCCTTGATGCAATTAACTAGGTATTAGTTGCGTGCAGTTGCTTGTTATATCCACAAATTTAGATAATGTTTATCCTCAAGCAAAATTATCCAATAATTACTAAAGGAATGGCTATTTGTTTTTAACATTCGAACTAATCACATTTTTCTTAAAACATAGACGAATATTCTACGCGATAATTCTGTAAGTACATGATTACTTATGCGTGATTTATCCCAAGTGTCTCATGTTTAACTTGAAGATTGTAGGTACATGAGCTGATGGTTCTGTACCTATATAAAATGTTATGTAATTTGGACCTATATTTGTATTACCTAATCGGAGCAGATCTTTTGTCAAGAATTTTATGAAATAGTTACTTATACAACTAGAGTAAGGAAGTGGAGTTTTTTAACTCGAGTTCAAAGTTTGACACGTAGGCGTAGTAAGTTTATCAACTGAACAAGTTTTACACATATAGGTAATGTTTTCTGAAACTACAATCACAATTGAAAAATTATCGTATGCAATGATAAAGTTTGACACATAGCAATCTAGATAGCGGTATGTTTTAATTTTAAATGTCATTGTTAAGCTAGCAATTGTTTTTTACTTTCCGCATTAGAGAGGCAAATCACATTTTCTTCACCCTTTTTAGAGACGAAAGTATAGTTGTTTCTCTCAGCTTGAATGTATTTGATGAATACGCGGAATATAGAGAGAAAGAGTTCAATTTAAAAGATATGTAATACTAAAGGTGTAAAGATAAAGGGCAGAAATTGTTGTTTCAAAAGTTCGTTTTGAGTGAGTCGTTGGAGTATCCAAAAGAAAGTTCAAATCGGCCGCCGCTATGTAGAAAAACAGTCGGTACATGGTGATTTATTTGTCGTAGTTATACAATGTCGGTTAAAAGAGAGAAAATGTGTCTATAAATTCGAAGGAGAATTGAATCATGCTATTGTTTTGTTTGGATAGTCCACGAAATCGACTTTTTTCTTCAAGAGCCGAATAACTATAGTTCCATTGTATTATTATTATGAGAAATATAAAAAATTGCAAAAAAAGCCAGTTTTGTTCATTCTTACGTGGAAATCATCTACAAGAGATAATAATTTCCAAAATCACGCGCTATCCTTTAAAAAATGGCACGTTTTCTTAATGGACAAACAATGTTTACATCACCGTTGCTAAATAGCGTATTTTTCGTTCTTACCAACGAAATAGGAGTTAATACCTATGTACAGAAATCTTTAAAATTATGGAGACATTTGACCAAAAATGAATTTTAGATACGTATGTAGGTATATAATAAATGAGGTATAGTGTGCCATGAGAACAAATGAAAATGAAAAAACCTTTGTATTATACAGGGATGGTTGAAATTCGTGGCTCACCGTTGGGATCTCTGTAACGGTGAGATGTACAGTGTACCTATTAGGTTAAATCACTGAAAAACGTGAAAATGTCAAATTTTGTTTTCATTTGCCCTAGCTGAAACGGTCGGAAATGGACACATCTTCTATGGGCACTTTTATTTCGTTGAATCGGAGTTTGGTTGTCAAAGTTTCGATAACACTCTAGATTTCTTATTTCTTGTGGACGCTCA